GACAGGCCAGCAAAGCTTAACGAGAAAAAGAGCGACAGACAGACATTTTTTTGTTGTTGTTGTTGGAAAAACGACATGAAAATTTTGTAGCGGCGGTGATAAAATAAGAAATTCTAGCGGCCACCTAGGTGAAAACGAGCGGCAGTGAAAAAAAAAAGATTGAACAAGAATAGAGTGACGCACGACATTTCCTCCATAAAACGTGTAACGAGGAAGTTTCTGGAAGTTTCACGTTGTAGTCGTGCAAAACAACGGCAAAGAAATGTACAAAAAAGTGTGCTGCACGTGCAAAGTTACTTTTTTGATAATTAGACCGATTATTGTTTTGTCACTGTTCTCGTTTCCTTTGCCGCTTAGCATTGCACGATTATTTATTTTGTTTGAGCAACTATAATTTATTATGATCGAGAGCTTCCCTTTTAGCCCTGGCTCAAAGCGATTTATTACCTTTGGTGGACAAAATGAACGGAAGCTTTTTTGGTATGGGATCTTTACTTAACTATTTATTGTTAAAGGAAACGTCCGAGTGTAGAGAATTTCCTTATAGGTGGTTTTCACGTTACGTCATCGCCGCCGTGCTGGTGGACAGTAAACAAAAGATCGCTCATTAGCTCGTTTTGTTTGTCCACCAGCATTTGTTCATTTCACCACTGTTATTTGTGTCTCCTGAGATTGGATGAAAACCACCTATTGTGATTTGATACTTTTCTTTCCTTTTAGATTTGAATCTTAAAGAACTAGAGGTCAACTTAAAACGTCCCAGATTCCAGCTTTCTTTAAACGGAAAGAGCTTTGATGTAAACATTTCTTGGGATGAACCAACATTTAACAGGAAACTGTCAGGATATCAGGTTTCCCACAAAGTTGGCAACCGCGAAACGGTGGTGAACGCAACTGTAAGTATTTTGACCACAAACCTCATTCTAAAAGCAAAAGCCAAATTCAAAGCAACTTCAGCCTTTTAGATAAATTCTTCTAGTTAATGAAGTGTACAATAAAAAGTATTTTACTCCATTAACCGGCAATAAAATGTCTATTCTCCTTCTCCGTTGCCTTTAAGCCATTTCGAGAAGCAGCTCAAACCACATTTCTCGCCAAAATTTTCTGAAAATGTTGACTTTTCAGAAACAAACAAACAAACAAAAAAAGCCACGGCATTAGCGACAGTAGCAGTACCCTGGGTGCCAGAGACTTTTCATGCGCAGTTTCCGGTTGCGGTCAAGTCGTTTAGTTGAGGTTTGTTCATTTTACTGCAAACTACGGTTTGCGGTTAACGGTTTCACGTTACCCGTCTTGTCGGCTGGTTTGTATTCAGTCAGTCGCTTCCTAATGTTTCTGCTGGTGTCGGTGATGTAAGGGGCCTGGTAGTCGCAGCATTTGATCTACACTGCTCCCACTCTGTCCTCTGGTTTGGCTTTGTACATTTGTAAGCGGTCGTCGTAAAGTGGTTATAGGTGTAACGCTTTGTTGTAAGGTTGTTGTATATGATTGAGGTAATAAAAAAAAGCAAGTGTCAAGATCAATATTTTTATCTGTTTTTATTTTTTAGGAAAAAACACACTTAATTATTCCGGAGGTGGTGCATGGCGAACAATTGATGTACTGGGTAAGTATTGTCCCCCTAACTAGATCATTTCTCTGATACATATTGCAATTAAGCAATAGAAAACGAGTCCGTGTTTGCGTAGGCTGATATAAACACGAGAGGGTTAGGAGAATTCGACGCAGTTACCGAACCCCTCGAGTGTTAAATAAGAAAAGTGGAACAAAATTTTACTCCTGGATTAGTGTTAATCTGGAACCGGGCCCAGCACTTTCAAGGACTACGTTCACCCGGACGATCGTATTCCACCTTGACTACTGGGTTCAAATCATGAACGTTTGTTTGTTATTATTATTATTCGATAATTTAATTGTTGTTCTACTCACTTCTTCAATTGGACAAAAAAAAAAAAACATGTTGATTACCTTCTAGGTTACTCCAAGGTACGAACTTGACTGGTTGAAAGGAACAGAAGCAAAAGGACAAGAAAATTCACCTGGTATATCAATGATAAAACGCAAACACTTCCGGAGTAGTAACGCAAAGGAGGCAGACATTGTCGGTTGCACTTCTTGTGAAGCGTTAAGATGAATTAGCAGAAAGAGCGGATGAAATTAATTGCAGCCGAGAAATATTTACATTGGTTATATACAGGGTTTTTCAAAAGTTCGTTGCGATGTTTTCTTCGCTTAAATTTTATTGATTAAGTACACTTTATGTTATTGTCTATTCATTTAACATCGACTAACTAAATTATTAGTAACCAGAATGTCTTCATTTATGATTTGTGACATTTTCTAAGAGGTGAGGTGTAGAGTGTACAAGCATCCAAAGCGTGTCTAAACTCGCATTTTTCCAGGCGAAGAGTAGTCACTGTCTTAGCTAGTCCAGTGTTTTGGGGGCTGGATCTTTGTATGTTGTCTCGTCAACGATAATCCAGATGGTCTCTAGGGGGTT